GGATTCGAACCCGCCACCTTAGGTGTACATGGCTGGCGCCTTAGCCAGTTGAGCTACAGGTGCGGAGCCCCCCTTCCTTTTCTATTTTTTGGAAAAGGTGCCTGTGATTACTGTTAATTGCAAATGGGTGCATTCCCAGTTTCCTCCACATACATCTCAAATGGGGGGGAGGGATATGTGGAAGGAGGCCCCTGGCTGGGCTGTCTGTCCTCTCTGGCAGGAAGAGAGGGATAGGAAAGGGGGTGGTGAGTAGCATAGCCAGAGGATGGGCACCAGGAGCACTGGCTTGGAAAGAAACACAGGGCTAAGGGTGGCTTCCTTAGGGATCTTGGTGGGCACCACCTAGGCCTGAGATCCAGGTGAAGCCTAGCCCACCTCTAGCCCAGTGCAGTCCTAGTAGGGAGGAGGGAGCATGATGGACTCCCACCCACTTGTGTGTGACTCTGGGAAAGCCCCCTTCCCACTCAGGATTTCTGAGTGTGTTCTGGAATGTGAAGAGGGAGGTTGAGCCAATGTTAAGGATTTCTGCAATTCAGAGCCTGGGGCATGAAGTGAGTTGTGCCGAAGACAGACTGCTGGATGATGTTCCAAGGGACTGTTGCCAGCTTCTAGAAGGAGGGCCTTATACCCCTCTTGCTTGTAGAATGGGACGAAGTGAGGATCCGTGCCTGGCCCGGAACCCGCTGACCCCTTCGTCCCCACCTCTGCAGGTTGCCCGGGCCAGTACTGGGGCCCCGACTGCCGTGAGAGCTGCCCTTGCCACCCGTATGGCCAGTGCGAGCCGGCTACGGGTGTGTGCCAGTGTCAAGCCGACCGCTGGGGCAGCCGCTGCGAGTTCGCGTGCGATTGTGGCCCCCACGGGCGCTGCGACCCCGCGACGGGCGCGTGCCGCTGCGAGCCGGGCTGGCGGTCGCCCACATGCCGCCGCCCATGCCTGTGCAACCAGGCGACAGCACGCTGCGAGCCGACCACGGGCGCCTGCCTGTGCGAGCCGGGCTGGTGGGGCCGCCGCTGCAGCTTACGCTGCTCCTGCCACGGCTCGCCGTGCGCGCAGGAGACCGGCCGCTGCGCCTGCCAGCCGGGCAGGTGGGGTCCCGACTGCGGGCAGCTGTGCGAGTGCGTGCGGGGCCACTGCAGCGCCGCCTCCGGCCAGTGCGCCTGCCCGCCCGGCTTCCGCGGCGCACGCTGTGAGCTGCCCTGCCCGGCCGGCCGCTACGGGATCCAGTGCAGAGACCGGTGAGCCCGGCGCCCGCGGGGCGCACACAGAGGGCGGGGAGCGGGGGGAGGGGAGGCAGGAAGGGTGGGCCAGCAGAGGGAAGGGCAAGAGGAGGAATAGCGGTCCGCGCTGCTCTCCAAAAGATGTACAAGACACGATGACAGAGCAAAAAACAAACAGAAAACCTTTGTTACTCATAACCCCCCTACCAAGCATTTGCCCCTGGGTCCGCCCCGCTCTCTTCTTTCCTCTGATTGCTGTTAAGCAAAACATACTAGCAGGGGGCGGCGCCTGTGGCTCAAGGGGGTAGGGCTCTGGCCCCATATGCCGGAGTTGGCGGGCTCAAACCCAGCCTCGGCCAAAAACTGCAAAACAAAACAAAAAACATGCTAGCAGGTACTAGCAAGGTGTACTTAAAGAATGAGTCACGTGACCAAAGGATGACAGGGTCCCTTTAACACTCAGTGGCTTTCAGACTTGACCTGGCTCCACTCAACAATGAGACATTACAGCTTGGCACCTGTGGCTCAAGTGGCTGAGGCGCCAGCCACATACACATAAGGTGGCGGGTTCGAATCCAGCCCGTGCCCGTCAAACAACAATGACGGCTGCAACCAAAAAAAAATATATATATATATATCCGGGCTTGGTGGCAGGCACCTGTGGTCCCAGCTACCTGGGAGGCTGAGGCAGGAGGCTCGCTTGAGCCCAGGAGTTGGAGGTTGCTGTGAGCTGTGATGCCACAGCTCTCTACCCAGGGGGATAGCTTGAGGCTCTGTCTCACACACACAAAAAATACAATGAGACATTACTTCCCACCTAGCACATATAAAAACGTATTTATTTCATATAACTAGAATTAAAATGTAACCAGACAACACCTAACACCTGTTCATATACTTACCTACCTTTACTATTATATACATATACATTTTTATTTCTTTCCTTTTTTTTTTTTTTTAGAGACAAAGTCTCACTTTGTCACCCTGGGTAGAATGCTGTGGCATCACAACTCACAGCAACCTCCAGCTCTTGGGCTTAAGCAATTCTCTTGCCTCAACCTCCCGAGTAGCTGGGATTACAGGCGCCTGCCACAACACCTGGCTATTTTCTTTTTTCTTTTCTTTTCCTTCCTTCTTTCTTTTTCTTTATTGTAGTTGTCATTGTTTGGTAGGCCCCAGCCAGATTCAAACCCACTAGCTCTGGTGTATGTGGCTGACACCTTAGCCGCCTGAGCGACAGGCATCACCCTTATTTTCTTTGTCTTTCTTTTTTCTTTTTTTGAGACAGAATCTCTCTCTGTCACTCTTGGTAGAGTCCTATGGTGTCATAGCTCACAGCAACCTCAAACTCTTGGGCTCAGCAGTCCTCCTGCCTTCCTTAGCCTCCAAGTAGCTGGGAGTACAGGCGCCTGCCACAACACCCTGCAAGTTTTTTAGAGGCTGGGTCTCACTCTTGCTCAGGCTGTCTGGAACTCCTGAGCTCAAGCAGTCCACCCGCCGCAGCTTCCCAGAGTGTTGGGATTATGGGCATGAGCCACTGTGCCTGGCCATTGTTATATTTTCTTTCTTTCCTTTTGTAGAAATCCTGGTCAGGATCAGCTAAATTGATTTTTTTTTTTTTTTTTTTTT